AGCTTTTGTTTTGACCAACTAAAAGCTGTTCTTCTGGTTACTAAGTGGATACCTGGGTCTGGCTCCAGCACCACAGACAGATATCCATTTACCACCAGTTAATGCCTTGTGTATTTAAAAGTGAAGGTACATCTTCCATGATGCTCAAGGTATTCACAGATACTTTTTGAACAAAAACACGTAAAATAAGGGTACATTAATATAGTGAAGGGCAACTGCACATATCTTGATGGCATGGATATGAAGGGTTTTAGTTAAGCAGTATTCCAGGAAGGGAAGGTTTTTTTTTTTTTTATATATATATATACACACACACACACACACACACACACTGCAATTTAACACCTGTAAATACACCTTTGGGTTCTGAAATTTAAGCAAGGCCTCTAGAAGATTAACTATAGCCTAAGGCATCGCTGAAATTATATGCACATTGTATACACCAGTGAAGCAGGATTGCAACTATGTGATTTTTAAGAGAATTGACTGTTGATATGATTTGAGTTTCCTTTATGGTACCAAAAATACAATAAAGCATTACTAGATGAATGTTTACTAGCTAATATACATATATTGCATATACACACAGGGACATATTTCATCTCAAAATGTATTTTGAAAACATTCCAGATCTTTCATATGATTTAACACAGCTATTTTGGCACCACATAAAAATACCTCATCAGCTAGATACCAATGCCTACATATAGGCTCCAAGACTCATTCCCCTCTGCAAATGCAAACTCTAGACTGCTTTTAAACAAAATACTCTGCACTGATTTCCTTGATCTAGGGACCTCCTCTGAAACAACACTACTGTCAATAAGAACAGAGACCAGTCAATCGTAGCCAGAACTCAACATGCAAGATGGGATTTTTGCTTCTCTGCAGAACAGGTAGCTGAACTTACTGCTTATCTGAATGGAAATCTTCCTGGGAAGCCTCTGTTAAGTGAAGCAAATCCAGCAAGACTCAAAAGGTGAAGCGTGTTGATGCTTAGCAGCAAATTCTATAGAACTTACATGTCAGATGGTCCCTACTAACAGCTTCAGCTCACGTATGCCATGGCTGTACTTTCCACAACAGCTTTTGCTGACTCCTATTCAAGTGTCCTTTCAGAAAATCAGCTGTTACGCCAACAAATTGTTGAGTTCAACATAAGCACAGGTATTTTCACCTTTCTTTTTTCTCCCAGATTCTACACATTCCAACATCCGTTAGAAGAAACTACAGGAACAACTTTTATGAGACTGTCTCAGAACTTGGTTTTCATTCATGTTATAGAGGCTGAATTTCTGCATGCTTCAGCTGAAAAGTGAAAGGTAATTTGTCAGCTGCTTTCAGTCTGGAAGCTAGTGGAATCAGTTCTTCTGGTGAAGAAGGTTAACCAGGCTCTTCTGCACTATTTCCTTCTTCCTATATAGGAAGATTTTAAACCTTTTAATTTTGAGTGAACAAGGTGGCAAAATCATTTTACACAGAAAATTAGTTTTGTAAGCAGATTTACATTTTCAGCACCATCTGCTCTCTTACACGACCTATTGCTTTAAACTAAGGGAATGAAATATTTCTTAGGACTGCACTACTACAGTGAAATTCTGAAATTTGCAATAATCTGCATTTAGCCAGTTCTCCCAAAGCAAATCACAAACATGTTCTAACTTAAGTCCAACTTTGATTTTATTTTAATTAAAAGTAAAATCACATTTAGCAGAACTTGTCTTTCAGTAAAACATGAAATCTAAAGTAATTTTCTAAGAAGATAACTATGTCCAAACACTTTTGAAAATTTGAACAACCTCACGGGTGAAGCAGACACAAATGAAAATTACAGTACAAAGTCATGCAAAAATTTGTGCCTGCAGAACTTGAGGTAAGGTACAACATGAATGAAATTAAATTTAAATGGAATGCTTTCATTATATATATAAAAAATTATTTCCTTTTTTTTAATACCACAATAAAAAGATAAACAGCAAAGAACAGAAAGGACCACCATCATAATGCTAAAAATCAAAGTCTGAGGCAATTCAAAGCATGAACTAAGCAAGGAAATAAGCTTTTATTATTAACTAGACAGTATCTCTAACCCTGCTAGGGAAAACTTACTTAAAGTCCCATGACTAAAGCCATGAGGGATATCTATCTTCTTTTGCTTTTCCCCCATCACTCCCTCTGAAAGATGGTAACAAATCCCATTCATGGTGCCATTTCCACAGAATTACTTGCACTTTGCTTTGGAAGATAACTTTGCAGCAAAGGGAAGAGCGAAGCAGGGAAAAGGGGTCTCACTGGGTCCCAGGACTTGCACTGCAGGATTGCCAGCTGTGACTCTGACTTCTGTGCAACACAGAGTGCCAGCTACCTCCCCAGGCAGGTGGGATAGCCAAGAGAAAACAATTCTTCTCTCAGCCAGGAAAAAAAATTATTTATTTATTATTTCTAAGTGAAATAAGGTACCTTGTGGCAATGAAAACCCTAACAAAAACATCATCAGCAGTATGGTAATGACATTTTTCATACCAGATGTTTAAAAGTCAGCAAACTAAGGACATGCTACCCCTCTCCCCTGAACCCCTATAGTAACAGCATAGTAGAAGTGACTCAAGAGGGCCTGCTAGCCTGTACAGTCTGCGAACCTCCCCTAAATACTTCTTAAGAAATTAAAATAAAAGCATAGATAGGGCTTTTGTTTCTTAGATCAGCTAGATTAACCTGTATTCTGAACATACAAAAGCACAAAGTATTGGCTTCTTTCTGAAATACTTTAGGTACACTGCAAACGCACTGAGAATGTATTTAGATAATCTTCCAGGCAAGTCACATGAACTTATGGATTTGTAAAACTCTCCATATCACTGAGGAGTTTGGTAATGATATCCAAACCAATTGATAGGAACTTCTCTGACTGCAACACAAAGATTGCTTTGCTAGTATTCCTTGATTCCCTTTGCACACATTTAGCACCTATACTAGCCCTCCTCTGATTTTGGTAACTATGTATCTACTGGTCTGGAGCAACCAGAAGAAAAGGAGGAACTGCAGGGAACTAAGCACTTCCAGATTAACCATCTTTGCCAGGCACTGAATTTCATTTAAAAAAAAAAAATTACTGAAGCACAGAATAGAAAAAAATAGAGAAGTATCTTTCCTGTCAGCAGCCAGAAAACATCTCTGATTATCTTTTTTTTTCTACCATAGAAATAATATCTCCAGGTGCAATTTCCATAGATCCTGAACTCTGGCTTGCTTCTACTTCCATGAACCCAAGCAGAATACTTACTAACTTCAGAGCTGCCAAAGCACACTTTGCAAAATCCTACCAAAAAATCATTTTATTGTTAAACAAAAAAAATTAAGTTAGTACAAAAATGATCAATCATTGAATTGTAAATAAGCCTGCAGGAGATCTATATTATATCATCCCTCTCAAACCACTAAAGAGTTCTGACTTCCAAAAGCAATCCTTGGACTGGTATCAAAATTGGCTTGTTGATTGAACTATGCATACATGAAAGCAAAATTAGGACAAAAAGGATTTTGTGAAACCCAGCATTACAGAAAACATTTTTCACATCCATTTAACACAAACTTGTCACAAGAGCGTAATTGCAAACAAAAATGTAATTTACCTATAACTACATCATGGCCATCAACCAGGCCTGCAGAGAACAGCTCCTGAGAAACGCCATCTGCTGTGTCTGTCCAAAAGGTGAAATGAATAAGTATGAGAGCCCACAAAAACAACAAAAGCTATCAGTCATCCAATGCAATTTAACAAAAATATATTTTAGTTCCAAAACACCCATGGAGGCAGGCTTGAATTCAAAATTATCTTTAATTAGGAGGAAAAAAGATAATTATCTTATCAGCCTCTGCACAGCAAATCGCATGAGGTGATGACTTGATTCATTGCAAACCCCCTACAGACCTTTCCTGGCCACTAGCATTTCTCCTCTATTATCTAACTATGTACTACACAGTTTACAAGTTCAGTATCTTCACAACCAAGAAAATAAACTATGTTTTGGTGTTGTTTTCATTGTTTTCTTTATCCCCTCCATTGTTCTGCATATCTAGATAGAGACATGCTGTATAGGCTTTCTTGTTTTGTTACCAGTGGGGCAAAGGAGTTACATGAACAGTCATTATTTTGAGCTTTAGGCTTAAAATAGCTTTTCAGTACTGTGACCCAGGAAATTCAGAGCTTTAGATCAATTTTGCATCAACTGTTATACCCAAGTGGGTTAATTCCTAAGTCCCTATGACTAGTACTTGCTCCTGGATAAAGACTTTAGAAAGCTTAGAGGTAAGTGGGAAGAAACAGCAGGAACAAGCCTAAATTCCAGCTAAGTCTCAACTGTAATATGGCCTCAGCATCAAACATCTGCATGGAGCACATGCTTTAAGGCAGTTACACAGTTGCATCATTTCCCCAAGAAACACACACAGGTGAAAAACAATATAGCTGAGCTAGCTGCAATTTCTGGAGACCTCTGAAGATGAGAATCATAGTCGCCTTCTGGCTGCCTCAGTGACTGACGACTAGGAACAGTCCTGGTGTACTTTACTATGCCGTATCCTCTATGTTTTGACCAAATAAGAACTCTCAAATGGCTTATGTAACTGCTTAGAGAGTATTTAAGTAATTCTTTTGACAAGTGACTAAACCAGGATGCTCTGTACCCAATTAAGTAAGAGATCTCTTTTGTTATTACCCATTGCCAGAATCAGTGAGAAATGCAGGTAGACAACAGTATATCCATGCACAGAACTACTGCACATGAAAGATACTATGATTTATAGGAAAAGAGACACCTTTTCCAATCTGGATTCATTTTTAGGTGGAAGGTCTTTGAAGGCTATTCTAAATATAGTGAATACTGACTTCTGAGAAATATAAAATGTGTTCATAGTTCAAAGGTTGCTTATGTAACAAGGATGATACCTTCCTACTCAGTGTATCAGCCTCCTGTGCATTTTATCCCAGTAATACTTAGTTTTCTTCAAATAAAAGTAAGTTTTATGAGTTCTTACAACTCTTAGCATTGAAAAGCCAATACAGTTCTACAAGCATGCAGTAGAGTTTAAAGTTTCAATGCCAGAATTTCTTTCTGGTGATGATACCAAAGCTAGAGATGCAACTCAACATTCAGTTGAAGACAGCACTTGAAAAATGGCATGCACTTCATACTCATTAACAGAACTTCTTTTATTACAAAGGGGAAAGGAACTCAAGCATTACCACCATCACCACAAACACCTTTATGGCTACTATATTCCGTTTCCTGGCGATGTTTTCCAAATGTGAAAATGGAAATTCCAAAGCTGTAAATATTGCTATGCAAGATCTTATATACCACATACATCATTTCAATAAGAAACAAAATTGATAAAGTATACTGTGGATCAAGTCGTCTAATATATACTATATATTATGCAACCTTGTCACTAGAATATACATACATCTGCTATTCTTGTTCAAGTGAAGTCCAATCTAAAGCTCTGCGCAGTAGGAAACATTCCAGAGAAGCAGTTTATATTAACCATAAGCAGTAACCAATTTCCAAAATACCTTTTTGAGCAATAAGAGAATGATTCAATGGAAGGAGCCTTACCTCTGCCTGGAGTAAACTCAAACCGTATGTCATTAAGTTCTTTCCTGGAGTTCCTGAAAAACATTCAGTGTATACATTAAAATGTAATGAAGAACAGAACAACTATTCAGTTCCTACACCCAAAGAATACCTACGGCATTAACAAGCAAATTTTTGTAGTGTGAATTTCATCAACTTGAAAAACACTGCTCTCCCAAAGCGCCCAGACTGGAGAGACTCCACTGCATTTTCACAGCAGTATTTTGGGGAAAACTAACAGAAAGATATGCTTAAGCTGAAAACTGCTTTCAGTAACCTAGAGAATCAAATAAGGTCCTCTGATAAATATCTTCCTTTTTATCTTCAAAACACACTCTGCCATACTGACTCTACTGGTTCAACATAGTCTGAATAGTGTGTTTTACCCCTTCTTCTCCAACAGTAACACAATATTCACTTGGACTTAAAGCTCCCTATCTGAGATCACATGTATAGAGATGCTTGTTTAAGAGACAAAGTATCTAGTAAACATTAAATGCTGAAAAGCAGTGTTTGATGCACAGTGTTTATAAAGCTGTTTTGAAACGAGTAACTTCTTTCACTGACCACCATTGTCTCAGCAGCAAGGTTCTATCTACACATAAAATAAGCAGCAGAGTGTGAAAGCCAAAGGTTTCCTGCCTTCCCATTTGTCACAAAGACTGCTTTAACCAGTTCAGTGTATTACACAGTCATAAGGGACTTAATACCTACGTTGAAGAATTCCTTTACACTCTCATACTGTTCTCCAAACCTCCATTCGTTGCACGTTTCCAGCTTCAGTTTTAGTTAATAATTTCTACCATCAATAAAACATTAGCCTCTTCGCAAAATAGATGTCCATCTCATTTTTGGAAACGGCAAGCCAACTGAGCACAGGGATGAACTTAATTGCTGTAGCATACTCTTTTTCCAATGAATAGCTCAATCCTCTTGAAAAGCTAATAGCAACAGAATGTGTTTTGCAGTCCATTATTCTTCTCCTCAGCAAGGAAACTGTATGCAAGCTCATATTTCAGCCTACCAGGCCATGAAGTCTTGCTGTGGGAAAACTAAATCCAATAGGCAGGCATACTCAGCTGTGACTTACAGCTATTATCACTTGCTAAATACTTATAAAAATATTACAGAGTCAAAAAACAGCAACATGCAGGAACACAAAACCCAAAATGATTGGCAATACAGACAAGAGCCAGATAGCAAACCCTGAAAAATAAGTATGCCACATGCAGTGCTTAAAATGAAAAGTACTCATTTACTGAATATACTGAATGCTTCAAAGCTGAAGGAGTTTCAGGTTCCCAAAATTCTATCCAAAATAAAAAATTATGGGAGCTTAAGACCACTAATACAAAGCTGCAGATAATGCAGCTAGCCAGGTACAGATTTACGAGGCTCATTTATTTCTGTTGTAGAAATCTGCTGCCATTATATGGAATATTACACACTCTATTTGTATTCAACAGAGAATTAGTATGAATCTCAGTTCTTTCCTGATGGAAACCTGGATGACTTTTTGTTAAAAAACAAATACCCCCCCCCAAACAAACAAACCAACAACAACAAAAAAAAACCCCAAAAACCCACAACCGCAGACACCACACCAGATACGACCCATATGAGTTCCGTTTTGACAATCCACTTCTCTTTGCTGAAATTTATTATATCTAATAAACTTGTTAAACTTGCCGCTTTCCAAAAGAGGGAAGATGGACAGGAATTTAGCATTCTTCTTAAAATACGTTTTGACTGAAGGTGGGATGCAGCTCAGACTTCGGTACTCATTTCCTGCACACACTTTTGAAGCAGCAAATCAAGGGAATAAAAACTTTATCTCACACCTTTGCAGAAGTAAACCAGAAAGTTTTGATTCTTATTAGCACCTATACTGAATTGCTCCAGCCTACATATCTTTTTCCAGAGTCAAACACTAAAACCAGCTGAGAAGTAATTCTGTAGATTTCACATTCTTAATCTACCTAGAAACTAATACATTATGCTCTCAGATTATATCTTTCCACACACCTCCCATAAGTAGAGCATCCACCATATAAAAAGGCACTAAGTAATTATGAACTCTCAGGAAAATTATCAGCTTTCTAACAGACTTCTACAGCTATGTGAAAGACCAGCTGTTCCTGATACAGACTCTTTCCTTGAGCAGGATGCAAATTGGGTGTGTTTTACTTTGTCTCCAAATTGTAGAATATCCCAAATAGAAAGTTAATGAGTCAAACCTGCTTATTTAAGTGAAGGTGAAAATTCAAGGAAAGTTGATATGTACTCAGCCATCCAACTTTGCTGTCTGGAATTGTTACACTGTGAACTATTTTGAACTTAAGACACTGCTGCTTTCTCTTTAATGGTACACTACTATTCAAGAAAGCAAAACAAAGGAAGTTTGGCGAGATTAATTTGCTAGAAGCCTGTAAGTGCTTCTGCTTACGGTCCCATTACCTTCCAGACATTTATTGATTTCCATAAATTATTTATTCCATTATATATTCCACCAAATAGAAGATGCACTTGACTTCTCCCCTAAAAGCTCTTCATGCTCTTCTCCAGTCTTCAGACACTTCTCTGGTTCTAGTTACTGTCACTGTTACTGCAAATTAGTTTGCTAGTTCCCTTGATACACTTTGGTGACAACTGTTTAGACTTGTTGATTTATTTGTAGGCAGAGTTTCCAAACAGCGTTTCATTTGTTCCATTGGAGTTCTCTTTTCGCTTACATCCATTACACTCTTATCATGCAGCAGCACACACAGACTTTATTTCCGCTAAATAGAAACAGGATTGGAAGAAAGGCACTTAGTATCTTTGTGATTAATAATTTTATCTTCCTCATCATTTCTTAATGGTCCCTAGTTTCTCTAATGCATTTCTGAAAAACTTACTTCTATTTTAAAATGCAAACTCAGACCTTTTTGCCATGTCTTATAAAACCTCTTATTTGCTTCTTGCTCTGTGCCATTACAGACTAATATACCTTGATTATCACGGATAAAACAAGCCCATCTTTTTAAAAAAAGTAGTAAATTTTAAATACTTTTGTGTATTGTAGCACACCGCAATTTGTTAATTTCCTGCAGGTTGCTTTTCATTATGCAGCCACCTCCAACAGGAGGAATTCCACAGAACTGCTTTGAATAAGGGTGACACCAAAGCATGCCATGCTAAGACCTTTTGGCAGCTATCTTTCTTGCAAAGTAATTTCAGAATTTAAAACTTCATGCTTTATGAAAGCATATTTTGCAAATATTCATTATAATTTTGTTTTCGTCAAGACCACTTGATGTGCACACTAAGACTGCTAGATCTGATTTTATAGGGAATAATGCTTCCTCAAAGAACCAGAAAAAGCACATGGGCCAACTTCATCACTTAGCACCTCGCCCACAAACTTAGACCATCCTGTCATTATGATGTGAAACAAAGATGCTCTGTTTTGAAAGAAATGATTTGCAGAACAACACTGATATTTACAAAAATCAGGATTAGACAACAAACAAATTATGCAGCTGTTCAGATTGACATGGTTCTACTGAAAAAATCCTAAAACATGAAAGATATTTCAGGCATTTGCATTTAAAGACAAAGCCTTTCAAATAATTACCTACCTAATGATAGTGTAATTCCTGCTAGAGTCAACTATGTTCCACATGCTTGATGAAAGATCTATATCGTTGAATTAAAATAGGAAATCATGTTTGTGTAATGATGCAACTGGAGACATTAAATGTCATTATTTCTTTTGTCCTTAAATGCGGGATGTCTATCATGTAAGTGAGACTCAAGAAAATTAGATGTCTTGGAATTAAACTTAAGGTCTTCTCATGCTGGGATAGCTTGATTATGTATCAAGCAGCAGATTTTCATTCTTTTTTACTACTACTTTTTTTTTTTCCCCCACAAATTTATCCACCACTTCTTATGCTGCAGTTAAAACTGAAACATCAGCTCCTATTTCCCACAAGATTCAGCATTTTCCATATAGCCCTTAGGAAGAGTCTGTATTCCTGGATGAGATGCATCTTACCGTAGCTGAGTAACCGTATAGTCTTCCTTCCCAAAATAAGAAAAAAATTCTCAAGAAAGGTAAGCCAAAAGAAGGGTGTGCGCACACGTGTAAGAACACGCAAGTTTTGTCTCTGCATTGCTTGCTGAATTTTCAGACTTCAGCTAGTCAATCATCACACGTGGTTTACAAAGACTGATATATGGAGCTGAGTGTCCAAGAACGCAGGTGATAACAGAATGGTAATCAACAAAGGTGACTTGTGAAACAGTACAGAGTACATATACATCACATGGAAACTGCATCATTTATGGCTTTTGGTGAGTTACAGCAGAAGCAAGATTCCCTGGTTTTTTTATTCTCTTCTTTCAGATGGAGTCAGAAACCATAGATCACAGGCACTCCCCCATCGCCACCTGTTCCATCACTATGTCATGTAGACAGTGAGCACTGTCTAGACAACACTACAGGCACTGTAGACATCCATGCTTTCAACCCATGGTCACTTACTCCTGCTGGCATTTCACAAATACATCCCCTTCCATGAAGCTTTTTTTATTTTCTTAAATACTACTTTTTAATTCAATTGTTTAATCATCCTTTCCCATCCCTCCAATGGAAAACTAATCCAAAATCTTAGTTCTCATCATCCTCATTCTTGTCCACTTGCATATGTAAAATTACACTGCTCTACACCAACGTTATCCATCTTGGATGCTAACCATTCTTTTCATTAGTATATCATTTTTCTATATTATGGTTGTCCAGTCCTAACAAGGCATAGGAATATTCTCTACTATTTCTATGGACTGACAAGTGGAAGCAACAAAAGATAGAGCTCTGCTGGAGCAAAAAGTATTCACTCTTACTAGCCCATTTCTTCACCACTGAACCTATTTTAACAGACTCCAACATACAGATGCTGCAGCTCTGGCCTGGGACACATTCTACCTTCTCTTTCACTTATTTTTCCATATTTCTGCATGATTAAATTTAAATACATATTATATATATATG